TGCCCTCTCACTGGAGCTGTTAGTATTGTTACAGAGTCCTGAGTGTTCATGGCAGCCCTCTAACAAGCATTATATAGAAGTTGGGAAGAAGGACACCTTCCCCATGCTACATTTCCCTCTTAAGTCTCCAGTAACATAGTTACACTCTACAAATCTCATTAAACTACTCAGGACATGGCTTTCACATTTATTTTTTAATATTATAATTTCAGTGCCCCTTTTCTTCGAATCATGTACATGTTTTTAGCAAATAAGAAAAAGCTGGGGTCAGTTTTAGGCAGACATTTATTGAGTGCTTGCAATCTGTACCTAGCACTAGATATGCAGCAGAATAAAAATCTCTTAGCAATGTGCCCTCATTGTAGCTGGACCTCTTTGAGGCTCCTGTGTTCTAAGAAAGTATTTGGGGATATAAATCACCTTTTCATCTCTTCAGCAGTACAAAAGGGGAAGGAACACATCCCAAGGTAGAGGGTCCTTTTTCTTGCCCTTCCAAGATGCTCCCTGGCCTCCAGGAAGAGGGTCTCTCCAGAGAACATCCACAGGGCCCACCTGTCCCCTGATGCCGGCCAGACATCAGAGCATAAGAGGAGAGACAGTTGGAAAGGCTATTTCCTGGCAACTTCCCGCAGGACTCTGGGTAGGAAGTGGCTGTGCTCCGCCCCCTAACGCCACTGCCATGCACCGTAGTTTTGCCCATCGTTAAGACTGAAGATCATCTCTCTCCTGGGTAGAGGAAAGAAGAGCTTCCATTTTGTTCATTCTGGGGATCTTCGCCACTTATAATTTTTCCTTATATCCACCCTTACCCTTGATAAAGTCTTTACTTTAATAGTCTTGACTAATAGGCATTTCTATTACATCTTGACTGTTTCCTTGCATTTGCTCCCAGAGTTTTTATAGATCATTTCCTGACTGTGGACTTGAGTTTACATATTTTTTATTTATATTTGCTTTGTGTGTAAATACTGCAAGTATTTGCATGCCTTTTATACCAGAAGGCTAAGGACCAAGATTTGTAAATATCTTCAGGCAGGAAAAACAGTGACTGCATCCACAAACGATATTTATTTACACTGCTAATCTCAGCCCTAATTATTAATTATTTAAGGCTTTTTAACTTCATTGAAAGTTTTAAAATAAGAAAACATTATCTAAGTTTAGTTTCCTAACATGAGATGGAGGACAATACACAAACATTTATAAATAGAATTATACTTTTCTATTTATTAGACTTGGGCAAATCATTAAAAAAAATAATACAAATCTGGCAGCTAATCTTTACTAGTACAGATGTTTTCAGAATGTTTAGTTTATGCCCATGATGTATATAATTATATGCCACATAGGAGGGAAAGAGTAAATAACTAAATAAAATACTTTTATTAAGATGGAATACTATTTTTTTCTCTAACTGTATATTGGCTTAGCCTCCCCAGACCATTTCATTGCTAGTACAAACTGAGCACTTCTTCTGTATCAGTGATGCGGGAAGTTCAGAAAATTCATGAGGAATCATTCTAGGTTCTACAAAACTACTTGGCAGTATCACATACCCACTAAGCATTAGTTGGTTAAGAATCAAAATGAGGCGCAGCAGGTTAAAGCACAGCACTAAGAAGCTAAAGCCACTTCCGCATGAGTTCGATCCCCTTCTGCCTGGGAGGTGACCACATGGTGCTGCAGACCTCTCCTGACCCACCCGCTGCTGCGGTCAGCAGTGTTTTTTTTTCAGTCGGCCTGTTCTGCTCCCCACTCTGTCTCTGGTGAGTCCTCTCACCGCCCTTGCACCTCAGGCCTGTGCCTCAGTTCTGCATGCATAAATAAATAAATCTTAAAAAAAATCAAAATGAATTGAAAAAGAAAACAGATTTTGTGGTTCTGATTAATCTTATTTTCATAAAACTACATAGTCAGGAGGCTTTCAGTACCTGGTCAATTAGATATTAAAAATGCAAGAAAATAGTCTGCAAGCATACTTGTCAAGTTGTTTTTACTCTGGGTGGAGGGGTCAAGTTGAAGGTTCCAGGCGCCTTAAAATAAGCCAAGGGCAGTCCATCTATAAAAGTCTGTATGATAGATCACACCTGGGCCTGCTATCCATTCGCCCTCACATGTGGGGTTGAACCCTAAGCATGCAGGATAGGCTTTCCATTTTTAATTACTTTCTGAAAAGGTCTAATAAATAGGCATTGAATTACAAGGCTGTAAGGAAGACTATTTGTATCATAAAAGACTGCATCAAGTTCCTTCCAAAAACAACCTAGTTCTGAAATTGAAGGGAGAAGGGAGTGGAATGTTAAAGCAAGTGGATTGAATCAGGCTATTGAGAGAGTCTGTGATAGATATGACAGATGAAAGATTTTACCAGTGACTACTAAAAAGCCTTTACTTTGTTCAGTAAGAACCTAAGGAAGCCAAGCCTTCTACATGTTTGTAAAAGCTCCATAAGATGTAGTTGCAGGTTTTTAAGCTGGTAATGAAACTTATTTTCAACTTTTTAATACAATCAAAAGAAACGGAAGTGGTTTTATCAATAGATATCATGGGATATCTAGTTATAGAGTTTTCTTTCTAGTGGAAAGAAGTAATCTCAAGCTTAGAGAATGGAAAGGAGAGTAAATACACAAACACATATACACATAGAAATGCAGTCTTACATCTATAGATGCTCTTATGCGTATGTGTTCATAGCAGTTTGTGTATCTGTATATTGATTGATCTACCCATATCTTTATACCTCACATGAGAAGGTAAAAATTAGAAGTATAGAATGTATTAATTTATATACATATTAACAGTATGTGATGTATACAACATTCCTGCATATATATGTATCAGTTTGTCCATATGTATGTGTGTCTATCTGTGTTTCTACACACTGTTCGACAGTTGCTTTATTCAATATTAAATTATGTTGTTTAAACACATTTTCAAGGATTAATTTGATTAATTAATTTGATTCCTTCAACTACACATTATAGGCTCCTTTATACTTTAAATAAGCCAGAAAAGATGACATAACATTCTTTATTCTTTTAACACAGTTGCTGGCTATTTCTTTACCATTAGGACAAAATAATACATCTAGCTTCTTCACAGTCAGTTCTTCTTGGGCTTCAAATCAGTGCTGTGTTCCTGGCATCGAGGGCAGAGAGGGCTGAGACCCAACCACAGTTCCTCCAGAGGCAAAGAAAACCATGATTCAGCCCTTCTGGACAACCCTAAAATATTAGTCTACTTACTATAGAAAGAGCACATTTTCTTACTGTAAATTTAAAGGATTATATAAACACTCTTTTTAAGTTGAGCTGCTGAAGAGTTTACCTGAATGACTCTTCATTTCTCACCTCCAGAAATGAGCAGTGTGAATATTTCTTTGATTATGATGTATTAGAACTTTATTAATAGGGAGGCCTCACAAATAAGCTATCGTTTTTTGCGAAAGATCATACTGTGCTAAATAATGAGATATGGGAATACAGTGAACAGCTTGACTTCTGCTGACTTTTACTTAAGAGTGTGAAGTGTTTAAAATTAGACTATGTTAGTTTTGATGAAGCGTGCACAAGGGGGCATAATTGAAAGGCTTTGTTCCAGTTTGAGAGCTAGACAAATTGTGTAATTTTAAAATAAAGCATTGTGACCTGGTAGTAAGGAAACAACAAATCTTGTGTGCTGTGGGAGAGAGTGGAAATTTGGGGCAACCTTGGTGGAAGGCAATTGAGGAACAGTTCTCACATGGAAACTACATTTATCCAATAGTCTCACTCACACATATCTAGTAGTGTTTGCCTCAGGCAGCCTGGTCAGAATGCACCTGTTCATTATAGTATTTTGGAGATAAGAAAAGAAAAATAGTGTAAGAATAATCTAAATACCAGCAGGGCAACAGTTAAATTAAATGTATGTTCACCTAACGGAGCACCTTAAACCATTAAGAAGTATTAGGTAATTCTGTACTGCTGATATGGAAGGACTCTGGAATGTATCAGTAGGGAAATAAACCAGATTCAGATCGTCATGTGGTTTATTTTGGATAATTATGAAACCAGAAATATCTGTATTACAGGTTTCTGTTGGTTGGCACAGCAGGCCTCTCCTGTCTCGCCCACTGCTCCCCTAAGCAGTGTATTTCAGCACATCTGCCTGTCTTACTCCTTGTTATCTCTTGTGAATCCTCTCATCCTTCCCCAACCCCTCTGGCCTATACCCCATTTCTTCTATCCCCCCAATTTTTTTTTGCAAATATTTATATAGATTTAAGTTGTTTCATTGTTATAACAAATTTATATTGAAGAATAGTATGCATCCTACCCATTGTACTTGTCTAGATTTTAAGTATCAAAATAAGTAAGCATTGATTTTGGCAGGGGGGAGTCCTAGGAAGTGGTTGCTTTTGATAGTTTCTGTATCATTTGATTTTTCTAAACATGTATGTGCATGTCAGTCTACTTTTAAAATTGTAAGTAAATGTTCTGCACTAAGTTTTCATCACTGGTCTTGAATGTTTTTTAAGACAATGTTTTACAAAATAATAAAGCAATATTGCTGAACTCACTGAGGCATGAGAAACTAGCCTACAATGATTGTATTGCCAGGAAATCAGTTCAAGTTGTTTAGGTAATATTCTCTCTGCAAAGGAAAGTGAGCTCCTGCAGCGCTCATCCCCTTACTGCGAGTGCATCTCTTAGTTGCCTGAAGAATAGATCCACTTGGTTCAGGACACATGGAGTCATCATATCTCTCTCCCTTTCTGAGCAAGAAAATTTGAAATCAGTTATTACAATCGTAGCCTGGGTCCACAGACAAACTACCAAGCAGAGGCCTCTCTGAGCATGCATTTATTCTTAATGGATCAGACTTTGATTCAGAATGGGGAGAAAATGTGTTGCCTATTTCCCGTGGATTCCGCCGTTTAACACAGCCGTCTCTATTTGGGAAGAAATTCCAAAAGAAACAATAAATGGACTAGCTTCTGCTCCTTTGAATTTTTGCAGAATTGCGACTTCTGGTGAGCCCCTCTGTGTGTCTGGATCAGAACATACAATTAAAGCTGAGTGCTTCGCGTCACCCTTTAAAAGCTGTGAAGCCTCGAACGTGGAAACCATGGGACTGGAGCCGTGAACAACTGTAAGCTAATCATTTTGAATTGTTATATCCAGCATGTATTTTAGGAGACAGCTAACAACAGAAAAGTGCCAAACAGGCCTAGGGAATTTTACATGTTTGAATTATGAGGTTCTGTTATATAAATTCACAGTGATTTTTTTTTCTTAATAAAGGATGCCATCATTGATTTTCTTCTAGACTAATTTAAACCTCTCCTGCCATAGAATAAACATTTGGAGGAAATAGGATTCTTATCTAGGAAGTTGCATTAATGGAAATTGAATTTAAAACCTTGACAATGTGAAACTGTAAAATTTTAACATCCATTTAATGTTCAAATGACATTGTCTTAGTCTGTAAGTATGGCTGAATGTGTTTGCTTTTATTTTTCCTAGTTATTTCTTTTAATGGCTTCAAGGATTTAAGAAAGCTACTTCAGGGACCAAGTTATCCAGGTGACCTCTAGGAAAAACAATTATCCAATACACAAATGATTTCCCCTCATCTAATAACATCATGATTAAGTAACATTTCCATTTCCATTGTTAATATTATTTATTGAAGAATCTTATACATCTTATACTTCTCTAGACTTCAAAAATAGAAATAGCCTAAGCTTTTCACTGAAACTTAGACTACTTAATTATTAGAAATGTAGTAAAGGAAAATAATTATACATTTAGTATCATATGTACATATATACATTTGAATTACATATACATATATAATGAAAGTATATTTGGTTAATCATATTTGGTTAAACATGAAGTTAATATTACTTTATTTTATGTATAAAATATTTTCTTAATACCTCACCACTTCAATGGATCCTTAATTGAATTAATTCGTCATCTGTCGTGAAGGTTTTTAGATAGGAACTAACACATGGGAAGAATATTTTGGCACATTTTTTTTATAACAAATCCATTATTGGAAAACTTAATATCTTTTCTTGTAGAAAAAAAATAGAGCAAAGTTTACTGAAGGCAGAACCAAAAATTTTCAGACGTTTCATCATTCCCTAAACTCTAATTTATATCACTTTGTTGCAATGGTAACATACATCACTAAATTTTTAAATCTTTACCCTAATTTTAGGTACTATTATCGTGCCTTTTTTTCCACTTGAAAAAAATCTTTTGATGAAATCTGCCACAGTGGGGAAATCTTCCCGCTTGATTTCTTTTCTCTGTACTTGCCTCTCCCCTGGTATTGATGCTTGTAAGCAGCAAAATTACTTAAGAACCGCCCCCCCCCCCAATGAAAGCTGAGGTCTGACAAAGGAAGATGGAGTGTACAAAGCTTTGCTGCAGGTTACAAGGTACATACTCAGTCCAAGGAAAGAAGCCATCTATGTTGTTTTATGTTTTAGGAATCAAACAGCTGCCCTTGCTCCATGGGAATCAGTCTTTAGAGCGGAAGATCTATCTGTGATTCTTAAAGCCTATGTTTTGGTAACATCTTTGACCCCTTTGCGAGCATTCATTCATTCGACTGGCACAGTTTGGAGTCCACCGAGGAGAAAACGCTTCACTGTCAAGGTAAAAGTTCCACACTAGCTGTTTCATACGATGAGTATGTAAGATGAGGAAAGTGAACAGGCTGCCTTCTTGATAATCAAATTCCATTGAACAAAGATTCCTTCATTTTGTTGCTGCAAACAGAGACTTTTATTTAATAGATACAGATTCAAGAATGAATTAGAAACATTACTATACTAGGGATACTAGGGATCATAAAGTCTATGTCTTTTTTTTTCTCAATTCATTTTAATTCAATTCTTTGACCCGTTACTAAACCAGTTCTCACTTGCATTTATTAGTCTATTTGCTTCATTCTTAGGGTGTGTTTGTGCTATTTCAACACTGAACATGGAATATTTGCTGAGTGAAAAAGCGAAACACTAAAGAGTGCCTGGCAGTCTCAGCCACAACTAAAAGGATGAAAAGGGAATTTTCGGGGGACATCTTAAAAATAACCCAAAACTTGCCCCCCTGGTGGCGCAGCGGGTTAAAGCACCGCACTAAGAAACTACAGCCACTTCCGCATGAGTTAGATCCCGCCTGCCCCGGAGGAGACCACATGGCGAGGCAGACCTCTCCTGACCCGCCTGCTGCTCCCCTCAGCAGTGTACTTCGTTGATCTGCCTGTTCTGCACCCTGCTCTGTCTCTGGTGAATCCTCTCACCCTCCGCATCTCTGGCCTGTACCCCAGTTCTGTACGGATAAATAAATCTTTAAAAAAAAAAAAACCCAAAAGTTTAGCTAGAAAAAGTAAAATCTAGTCTCTGAACAATTATTTCTGTAACAAAAAATTCCCTTCACGAACAAATACAGTATGATTCCAGTTAAAGATGAATCTAAACTAATCAGTCACAGAAGTAAAGATTAGAATGGCACTTAACTAGGGTTGTGTGAGGCATAAATAGGGAGTTAGTTGGTGAGAGGGTTCTTGTTCCAGTTTTGCAAGATGAGTAAGTCCTAGAGATTGACTGTACAGTACAGTGCTTAAAACGGTAGATCTTAACTGTGCTTATCAATCAAGGCAATAACAAACAAACAAACATAAAGGCCATAGAAAACTTTTGGAGGGGGATAAATATATTTATGATCTGATAGTGGTGATGATTTCACAGGTGTATACTTATCTCAAAACTCATCAAGTTGTATACATTAAACATTACAGCTTTCGTAACTCAATCATACACTGAAGAAGTGATTTTTTTTTTAAAAAAAGAACATACAAGTGCCTTTCATAATTTCAAGAGATTCAAAAGTGACTGAACTTCATGTTGCGAAGACTTTATCTTCAATAAATGCATTTTAAATTCTGGAAAGTATTCCAATGGTGAAAACATCCTAAACGATCCATTTAAATATCATCAATTAAGATATGAATCAGCATGATAAAGATGCAGGTGTTACATTGCCTAGTAAAACAGAGAGCTGACATTTTAGCGAAAAGTAATTGATGACTTAGGTATTTTTTTTTTAAGATTTATTTAGTTATTCATACAGAACTGGGGCACAAGTCAGAGGTGCAGGGGCGGTGAGAGGATTCACCAGAGACAAAGCAGGGAGCAGAACAGACAGATCAACAAAGTACACTGCTGAGGGGAGCAGCAGAGAAACAGAAGAGGTCTGCTGTGCTATGTGGGTCACCTCCGGGGTGGGGATCGAACTCACACTGAAGTGGCTATGGCCAGCTTGTAGTGCTGCATCCTAACCCATTGAGCCACCATGGAGGGCCCATGACTTAGGTCTTAAGAGTGCTTTTTTTAAAAAAAAAAAATATGTAATAGTTTATTTTTACATCATTTTGTGCATTTTTCCATCTTATTTGCAATCCCCTTGGGCTTCCCATCAAGGGGTGCTTTAAAAAAAAAAAAAGAAAATCATTTAACTATGCAAGCTATTCATGGTCAATATATGTGGTTTTAATTAATCATGACAAAGTGGAATAGAGTTTGATTCGTCTCTCATGTTAATTCCTACAAGTTGTGGTGATTATTTTTATTTCCCTAAATATCTTTCATTACTCCCTATTTTCCCATTTTATCATGTTGGGTTATATGGAACTGCCAATATTTAGTCATTGCAAAAACCCTGCAATTTCTGATATTCAACCTAATAGCTGACACTCAGTTATAGCGAGATAAAAGAGTTATATTCCTTGCTCCATGTCATGTGGCACCAAATGACACTGAAAAAAACCTTCTTATGCATTTCTCTCAAGGAAAAGTAAAGGAGGAGGCATCCTCTCCATTAGAACCTACCATGTTGGGATTGGAGAGAGAATAGGGTACGCCAGGAGGGAAAGCCAAGGGGATGTAGCTTGTTTATCTTGACATGAGGAAGAGAGTCAGCAGCCTGAATTCTGGGCCTGGCTTTCTCATCCTTCACCCAGAAGGAACACAGGATTGTGCTAGGGGAGAGACAGGAGGATCACAGACGTCCTTTCCCCACCTTGTCCAAACCAGTTCCAGAAAGATTTCTGAGGTAGGCGGACTCTATTTTTTTAGCATTTGCTTTTGCTTTTGTTGTTGTTGAGTTCATGCTTCAGTCTGATTTCACCTATTCTATTTCACCATCTTGACAGGAAGCAAAGTCCTTGGTATTCCAAGTAATTTTTAGTCGCCTTTTTTTCTTTTCCACAAGCTCTTCTTTAATTTTTTTTAAAGATGTTTATTTATGCATACAGAACTGGGCTACAGGCCAGAGGTGCAGGAGTAATGAGAGGATTCACCAGAGACAGAGTAGGGAACAGAGCAGGCAGATCTATGAAGTACTTTGCTGATTGGAGCAGCAGGCTGGTCAAGAGAGGTCTTCTACACCATGTAGATCACCTCTGGGGCTGGGGATCAAACTCACACTGAGGCAGCTGCAGCTAGGTTGCAGTGCTGTGCTCTAACCCATTATGCCATCAGAGAGGGCCTAGTTGCTCTTTTTCAAGTACCACTTCCCCAAACCAAGTAACATTGTGGACTTTCTGTGATGTTTTTTATGTATTTCCTGAAGATACATCATGAGTAAGGAAGCGCTTTGTGATTTGGGGTTATTTTAAATTTCATACCTTGTTTACTATTCTGTTGCTTAGTCATACCTCTGCACGTCTACAGGATGGTGGTTGCGAGCTGCAGTTATGGTACAGGAAAAATGCAGCCCTTGTCATCTTCCTTTTCTCCTTGGCTTTTGTCTTTTCAAGATCTTGCCTGATAATTTTGGACAATGCTGTTATCTGTTCTGAAAGGGAGGGAGTACAGCTTTCCTGGGTTAATGTGTCTAAGAGTGATTATTTCCTTACAAGGTCAAAGTTATACATTATGCTACAGATTGATTTTAGAAAACAAGGGAATATTTACTCCCTTCTGAACTGTTTATTGTTTCAATTAAAACAAACATATTGTACTTATCTGTTAAATCACTCAGCCTCCAAAGCACTGCTTCCTCCTGATTCCTATTCAGGGTCAAAAAAATACAGATGCTGTTTCAATGCCAGGGTGGGGAACAAGACCCAACCCCATTTTAATAACTAACTGCATGCTATCGAAGTGTATTAAACCTTGTTCTTATGTTCCATAAAGTGTATGTGTGTGTGTTTACTGAGTTCTGAATTTAAAGGTTAAATTACTTAGTTAAATCAGTAGTGATTTATGCACTGTGCAGAGAGGCAAGCCCACTAAACTAGTTATCAGTGGCCATTTATAGAACATTCTGGCAGCTAAAGGAGGTATGAAAGTAATAACAGATATAACTATGAGCTCATTTATTTCCAATTAGGTCTGCTGCTGAGATACTTTATCTACTAAAGCTTTGGGGAGAGTTGAAAAATATCAAGAAATGCAAATTTGAGAAATAATGGAACATAGAAGCTTTGTAAACTAGATTTTCCTAAAGTTGTCTTCTATACAATAAAAATATTTTAAGGGCTTCCCTGATGACCTAGCGGTTTAGTCTCAACACTGTCACTGCTACAGCCTGAATTCTATCCCCAGACCCAGAGGTGACCCACATGGCACAGCAGACCTTTCCTATTTTGCCCACTGCTCCCCTCAGCAGTGTACTTCATCAGTCTGCCTGTTATGCTTCCTACTATGTCTCTGGTGAATCCTATTAGCACCAACCCCCACATCTCTGACCAATACCCCAATTCATCTACACATAAATAAATTAAACTATTAAAATATTTTAAAATCTAAGTGATAGATGTTTCCAAAGATGTTCAAATTTAAAAGAGAGGGAATAAAGTTAACAGCAAATGCAATATTTACTTATTATATCATTTGACTTTTAAAACAATCATTTTACTGCTGTTAAAGCACTGTTATTTTCTTGGTGAATATAATGAATCCAATTTTAGGTAGTATTTTATTCAAAATTTTCTTCCCATTAAAGACTCTCAATTTAATTCTAAGATACTTTTAGTTATATCTTTGAATATAGGAATCATAGTCTTCTTTGGCTGTTGTAAATATAACTTTTGTCAAATCTGCCCATACTGTGTTCATACACAGAGCATATCGATCAAATGCAAGAAATGTCATAAATTTAAATGTGGTTCTGAGGTAAAAAGTCACAAGTCTTCATCTACTGTCAATCACTGAATAAGAAGTTATTCAGCAGAGAGAAACTCTCATCTGTAACTTGTTTCTGACATCTCGAGATTGTTTCTTTCAGTGATCTTAGCTGACTTATTTTGATGAAAACATTTTGTGGGAGTGATTTGTGACTTCTGGCAGGAAGACCTGTCAAAAGTCCTATTTTGTCCAGTTGAGACATAACTTAAATGAAACCATTGTTTGACCAGCCATCTAAGATTTGCAAAGATTCTTTTATTGATATTAGGTATTTCCAAAGTTAGGTGAAGGTGCCTCCTGGCATGTCATCAAATCTTGATAACTGTGTCTTGGATTGAATTCAATCAAAAACCATTTTTTAAATGTTAACCATATGAAGCAAACAGCCAAGTCTATTTACACCCAAATTGTTCATATTCAACCCCTGTATTTTTCAGTCATCTTCCAGGGGCATCCACTGAATAC